ACACACACACACACACAAACACACACACACACACACACACACGATGATGATCTCTTCGATAAAAATGGATGAACGTTATGGCATTTATTAGTTTACGACGAGGCAATCATGCAAATTTAGTGTGATGGAAATTAAATTGAAATTAAACTTGAAGAAATGTTATAAATGTTTGCCGTTTCAGTGTCAGTGTGATGGGATAAAATCAAAAATTATATATCTTTGAAGGAACTATATTTCCCGCATAAAATAATTAATTAAATTTTTTATTCCAAATATAGTTTTCATGTTTGCAGAAATAAATTTGAAAATTTTAAAAATTTCACGAGAAAACCATAACAGTTCATTTATACGATATATAGAAAAATAAATGAAGCTACCGAAATTTTATGCAAATTTAGGAAGGAAAATTCGGAAATTGAACAAAACGAATTGCCAATTTCATTCCCTTTTATTCGTTCCCCTTAGCTTTATATAATGTTCAAGAAAGTGTCAAATTAAAAAGTAAATTTAAAAAATTCAGAATAGCTAAATAACAATTTTCATTTTTCTATTGTATATAACACATTTTTTCATATATTCCCCTTATTCTGGATTCCGTTTAGTTATGACTTTTAATATGAGTCCAAAAGACGCTTCTTCATTTTCAGATTTTAAAGCCGACCGATATTGCCTATCACTCACTTGAGAACTTTAATCAGTTTAATTAAAAATAACTTCAGAAATGCCTTTAACGATAAAAGTACAATGAATACATAAACCAAATATAATTTCAGAACTTTCTGCCAATGGATTTTCACAAAAACGCAAAAACATTCTTTCAAAGTTCATATCCGAGTGAAAAAGAACTCCCATCAAAAAGTCTGTCCTTAACAATAATAACATATCATTTTCATTTATCTTTATCGTTCCGCTAAAAATTTTACAGTGTTTGTGTAACAAAAAAAAAATTCTGTTTTTGTGTTCAAATCGAAATTCAAAGAAAATCTATACTTTATGAAAATCTCTATGTGTAAAAATATGATTTCAATTTTTTTTTCAATGCAATGCCAACTTTTTAGAAAAGATCATATGGAAGTAGAATTCGATAATTAAGAATTTTTTTCTGTCGAAACAGTTTCAATTGGATTCTATAGACAATTTTCATGAAAATCTTAATTCTCGTTTTTTTAAGGTTAGACATATACGGTTAAATTTTCAGGTTAAACGAGATTTTTTTTGAGACTCTCCAAATTATCCGCTATCTACTGAAATACTATTGAAATATGTTTCCCTTTTTGAGCATAAATTACTGAAATATATTCCCTTTTTTGAGCAAAAATTAAAAAAGCTAAAATTTTGTGGTTCTCACAAATTTAATAATTTATTTTAATACATAATTAATGGCAAACCATCAGACAATTACAATTTTTGTCATAAAATGAAATAAATTACAATTTCGAGCCGCTTATCTGAAAAATAAAGTAATTGAAGATCATTGGATGAAAGTGCGTGAGTGAATTTCAGCAGATATAGACGAAGCCGAAAACTTTTAACAATTTTTGCAATTTGTAGAATGCCTAAGAGATCTTAGAAGAAAAAATCAAAATGAAAGTATCAAAATAATATGCAATTTTATGAACTTTGCAATATTTATTTCATTTTGAAAAAATTTTCGAAATCAAATAAGGAAATATAATAAACTGATTTTTTTATAGATCACTTAAATGTATTACACTTAAAGGCCTGGTTTTCAAAGACCCTGTATTTGTAACATCCGGAAATTAAGCTATAATTGTGCATTCATAAATAATTTGCTAATTTAAAGAACTTAAAACACTTGTCACTGAGTTAGATTCGATACCACATATTTTCCCTCACAATGATGTCTCGTTTTCAGCAAAATAATAATCATTTTGATACGTTGTTATTTTAATTGATTTCGCCTCGTCTTCAATTTCCATCGGTACAGATTTCAGTTGGTTGTAATAATCGGTACCAATTTTGTCGTTATAATATCCTGAATTTTTCATCAACTCTATGAACAATATAAATATGAAATATTTAAAGCAAGAATTTTCTTACGTTTTATTTTTATACTTTGACAACAAGAAAAATAAATGGGTAGCAATTAATATGAATACAGTTAATATGATGCAATTTTTATAAAGATTAAGAAAGTGTAAATCGTTTTAACCTCAAAATAATTTACCTGTTTCTCCATTCTCTCGAACAACAACTGGCGTGTACAAAAACGACTGTTTATTATTTGGTATCAAATAATTCCCCTCATCCATATTTAATTCTGTGCGTCCGTCATGTACGGGATCACTTTGATAACGTCCGGAATCGGTGCTTCCCATCTGTCCATTCTGTTGGATGCTAAGAGAACCCTAAAAGAGATTCGCTAATATGTTAAAATTCAACAACAAATCTTGGAATACTTATATTCAAATAAACAATTTTGAATTGTATTAAATCAGTATGTCAATTCAACATAGCTAAATTTAAAATATATAAGTAAATATGGTACTTCATTTGGCCTTAATTTAATTAAGTCAAAAGTTATATGGAGAAATCAAATCTGAAATATTATGTTATAATTCAGACAGTTACTGATAACTAATTCAGAGACATCACTCAATATTTAATCTCACCTAAATTTTTCCTGATATACTGCTTTTTATTTTTTTAATTTGATGCAATTTAATTAAATCTGACTCAAATTCGATCTAAATCAAAAAAAATACACCAGTTAACTTGCTAAAAACTTTGAAATTGCAAAACTTTTTCATATCTTACCTGCTGAAATGGTACCCAAGAAGGTGTAGTTGGAGACGGTGGAATTGAATTGGATGTGACTGTGGTGTCGCCAGGAAATTTAAATTGATCGGAAAATTCGCTACTATCCATTGAACCGTTTAATAGCTCATGTTGATTTTCAATTAATGCAGATTCTAATTGTCGTTTATAATAACGATCCTAAAATAAATCTCCAAATTAATTTTGCAAATATTTGACTCACTAAAAAAATCATAAACAAAATTTTTTTTTTCTTTCATTATGAAAACTTCTATAATATCTCCTTAAATTCCTTAAACTTTGGAAAAACCTGAATGCTTTTGGTAAAACGAACCAAGACATAAAGATGAGGTGCTTTGCAATATTGTTTGAACTTCTCCTTAAGAATAACAAAACTTGGTCTCGATTCCGGATTCTGTAGCCAACCTAAATTGTAGAAGTTTAAAATATGGAAAATTCAACATATTTTTCTAATTATTTTATGAAAATTGTGAGAAATTTTCGACAATTTTATAAATGGGAAATGCTTGAAATATATTTTGTATAAAAAAAATAGTAATCAAATTAAGGTTGTGCAAAAATTGAGTTCGGTTTTCTTTTTGTCAAATATTTCCCTTACACTGTAACTAAAAAAATTAAATTTAGCAGTGTAACATAACCTGAAAGTACCATTAAATTACTCCTGATGCAGTATGATGCACAGCAGTTTCTAATTTTTCAGTCATTCCTCATGCAGAATACCATATGCTTAAGAGATTTAGATGATGAACCATATGATTTTTAAGTAGTATTTACATTGCAAAAATGTTTGATACACTTCTTGGGCACAGTTATTTGGCTGTTCCAAGCGGTTTCCGGTTGCCAAATGTTGACGTATTCGATCCGGCGGTACACTTTGGAACGGTGTTTGTCCAAATGTTAGCACTTCCCAGCAGGTAACACCAAAAGCCCAAACATCAGTGTAATGAGTGTAAATTTGTTTCTCAAGACTTTCTAGTGCTAACCATTTTACAGCAACCTGAAATTAAAAATATCAATTTTTGTTATTTTAAAGTTGGAAATTTGATTTCTTTAAATTCAAGTATGCTCAGAATTCATGTAATTTCAGAAATCAAAAATAATCAAAAACAACAGTTCAGTTAAAAAATATAAATTATAAAAATTGTCATTTTTTGATTAATTTATTCTCTTAAAATCTTGCAATGTAATCACTTAGAACGATGAAAAGATGACCTTTCCGCCAACGACAACTTCACTTTTGCCTTTTTCCAACAATCTAGCAAGTCCAAAATCGGTAACTTCAACATGATTGGTTCGCTTCACTAATACATTTCGCGCAGCTAAATCTCGGTGTACTAAACGATTTTTATAAAGATATTCCATTGCCTGAAATAATAAAATAAAATAATTTAAGGGTAAAGAAATTCTAAAATTTCTATTCAATTCCTTGAGATTATAAATTTTTGCTTTAATTCATATTTCTCACTTTGAATTGACATATATCATTTGTAAAAAAAATTACATGAATACTTTTTTCACAAGTAACATACCGATGCAATTTGGTAGCAATATAATAATAGGTCTCTTGCGCCCAGTTTCTGTCGATGTTTTTTAAGGTAGTTCTTCAAACTTCCAAGTGGTCGCATCGGGGTCACAATTTGCATGCCATCACTGAGACATACACCAACCAGACGAAGCAAATGTTCATGTCGCATGCATGCCATGATACCCGCCTCTTGCAACATCTCCTGATGTGCTGTACCGCTTCCATCATGGACTACTTTAATTGCTACTGCCAACTTTTCGCCGTCCTCTTTACCTTTTGGCCACCAATAGCCCTAAAAAAAGTAACTACTGCATCTCTACAATAAAATACCGATCGAAATATCGTTAACTGAATTACAAATCTAAGTCAAACATGACCTATGCTTTGATTGGTCATTTTTGCATGATTTTGGAGCAGATCTATTCGCATACCTTCCAATTTGCAATGAAAGTAACATTGGGAAATGGACCATTATTACAGAAAAGAGAATAAATTCACCAAGAAAACAGTTCCGAATGCGCCTTGTCCGAGGGATTGCTGCGTCTTTTCAAGATTTTCACTGGTAATAATGCAAAGACGCGTCATGTTTGGCCTCATGGACGGATCCGTTAGTTCGAATTCCGGAATGCTTGGTAAATTCATTTCAAGTTCCTGTTGGTATCGTTTCTTGTATTTTATACAATTTATTGTGATACCCTGAAATGCCTCTGAAAGTTTACTGAAGCTAAAATATTTGACACAGCAATTTTTCTTTCTTTCCTTCCATTCAAAGAGTTGGAAAATTTCAAACGAAAGAAAAATTTATGCAAAAATAGACAAAATATAAGTGAAAGAATGAAACAAACCGCTATAATAGCAATAAGAACAGCTGCACACAATACGCTGATTATGATTATGTACATTCTCCTGCAATTTCTTTCTTGATGAGGAAGTTTATTTCTTTCGGAACTCTTTGAAGTACTACTTAATTCTTATCTACAATTACTAAGCACTGCTCAGTCAGTAACTACGGATTAAGCTCTTCATAATATTGGGTAATTTTTGAACTGAATTATTCGGAACATTGCTATTTTTCAGTCATATTACTCTTATTATCTGAAAGAAGACGAAGTTTGCAACTTTTTCGAAGCGTAAGCTTCTGGATCTGAACTATAACAAATTTTATCACTCGCAAGATACGGACGATCAGCCGGGCATCGTTCCATGCAAATCTGAAAAATATATGTATCAATGAGATCTAACAAAACAGCATTAACTCTTCCAACTGCTGAACTTCAAAAGTAAAATTAAAAGAAATTTGAAGTGATTTTTACATATCATGCTATCAATATCATGCCCATAAATTAATGAACAATTTTCAAAAAAGTGATCAAAGGTGAAATAAAATTTTAAATTTTAATGGAAACACGAACAAACTTATCGCTGATTAAAATACCAGCTTTGGCACATCGGGTACAGTTTGTAGAACCTGGACCCTTACAACCCACTGACAGATCACACAGTTCATTACATCGTTCACATTCACCGATACTATGGGCTGATTTAGGGCGCACCATAAATGAATCACTGAACAGTATATTATTGCTATCAGAATAAATAATACTTTACGAATTGTCCACTTTTAATAATCACAGAAATGGTTACAGTAACCAGAAGAATGGGCTTCTTTCTGTTGCAATATCATTTCGCTATCTATTTTACTGTTTCAAATGTTTTCAACGGTGAGATACTGATGCACAAAAATCAAACCTTGTGTAAATGTTTTCTTATCTTAGCATGGAGAAAAATGAGATATTTAAATAAAATTCATAAGTTTGAAATTACATTTTACAGTTCATTGTGCAATAATCGTTGCCTGAATTGGTTCTCGTTAGATAATGAGCACATTTACACTTATGTCGGTTCACAGATATACCATAACCAAGGCAGGTTAAACACTCTTCACTGCATTTATCACACTCCTAAAAAAATCTATCGAAAATCATTCGAAATTTCGAATAAATCGTTTTGAGACTTCTTTCAAGTAAGTGACCACAACGGAGAGATTTAGCATAAAATAAGTGGCTACAAGCTGTTGCTATAGAAAAAGGGCTTTTATCTCTTAGCTACAGCATTTTTTTTAACCGGTCTAGAAAATATTAAACCATAACATAAAACTTTCCAAACTCGAAAACTCAAAAACTGAAAACTTGTATCTTTTGATAGATGATTTCCTCATCAATAAAGCTGATTAGTTCAGTTATACTTGATTTTATTTTACGTACTCTTATATTTTTACTGAACTCTTCCTTACTTACTTCATTCGTACATCTATACCTATCTGTTTGCACTTATCTCTCATAATAAAAGCTTAAGACTTACAAATTCAGCAATGAGCATTTCATTGGATGATGCTGCAGCATAGTAATGAGTTAAATTATTATCACGGCACACATCCCTTGGTTTACCTGGTGCATATAAGCATTCCGCTGCTTGGTCAGTCTCAGTGCGCATTGCATTTCTGCATTTGTTGCAACCACCTACGCCCAATATTGTTTTCGGACCGGTACAACTAAAATTTTTATAAACAATGAATGAATTTCAATGTTGTTGCTTGCCTATTACATGGCTTTCTCAAAACGATAAGAGTAAAAAATTCTAATCCATTAAGTAACAATATAATTTAAGAAAAAATTTGAGTGAAGAAAATTTATAAAAGTTGGAAAAAGCAAACCCATATTCATAGCATGCTGTATCACATGGCAAACATTCATTCCCATCGAAATAATGTATCGCTGGACATTCCGCCAGACATTCCCATTTATTACCTTGCTGGATCCGAACATTCCGGCATGTAATGCAATCTTGTTCCGTTGATCCGTTGCATGTCTTACATTGCGGATGGCATTTGGAGCAATTTTTGTTTACCATATAAAATCTTAAAATCATCAATTAAACATTTTCATGTTAAGAATCGTTCTTTATCATATTAAATTTTTTGATAATCAAAAAAAATAACCCTTCTGTAGGACAAATGTTGGAGCACTTCCCGTCAACATTATAATCGATACATTTTACACACATTCTTGGTCCGTTACCCCAACACCCAAAATTCTTTTCACAATTCTCATCACATTGACCATTCGCTGAAAGAAATAATGATAGCAAGAGTAAAATAATTGCGACAAATAGAATTACAGTAATACAAATAACTTACTGCATTGTTCACCATTTTTATATGATATTATCCAACTAGAAATATTATCCGTATCCATGATTTCTTTCCAGTACTCATTTATCGAAGATAGATAACACAGTTTCTCATTTCTTCCAATGTATACACGTCCATTTTTGATACTTTTCAACGATCGTAGTCCAAGCTCTTTCAGATTTTGATTGCTGATAATAGTTAATGCAAATCGCTCTATGCTGAAATATATTTTAAGTTCATCTTTCAATTCCTCTTCAATTATTATAAGTCAGCTAAAAATCATCAAACAGTTATATTGAATGCAATTTCGATGAAAATTTTAACTAAAATTTCTATACTATCTGAAATTTGACAAACAAATTAAAATTTCTATATTCTAAAAAACACAACATACTTAAGTTGGCGTCCTTCAATGGTTGTCAGACTGTCAAGGAAATTTAACGATTCAGGAGTGTATTCAGCTGCTTCAATATCGACATACTCGGTAATAATTTTCACATTTTTCAATGCATCCAACATTTTCACTGTTAATGCTGGTATATACATTGGCAGTCTTCTGAGAATTTATTGATTAGTCAAACTATGACATTTCAGATGTGTTATTTGGAATATGAAAAGTAAACATATTTAGAGGAATTAAAACTATAATACAAAGTTGAAAATCTGATTCGGTTAAATTCAATTGTTCGTGATCTATAATTTTTAAATGCAAAATTTTTAAAAATGTTGGAATTTTCCTGTCACTCTTTGAAAGCGACAAAATAAAAGAAGTTGGAAAGATTAGAAATAGCCAAATGTATACCCATCGGTGAAGAATTTTCGATGAGGTTCGAATGGATGCCGTAAAAGTTGAATGAATCCTTCGATAACTGTACAATTTCTCAAACTTTCAATATTACTCGAATCTACTGGCTCATTTATAAAGCAAGCTGAAAACACTCTAATTAATTAATTCTTCCTGATCGGGATATTTAGAATCACTTTGTAAGATTCCTCATTTTTTTACATAGTTTTATTTTGATTAGTTTCGCAACCAATCCATTTCAAAGTCATTCTAAATTGAATTCTTACATCTACGAAGTTCAATTTTGAAATACAAATTCAGTGTTTTGCACAAATATAAATATAATAATGTTTTTTAGAATGCATTAGCTTAGATCTTTAAACAGTAATTAAGCATTATAAAAGCATTATTCGATATATAATAATTGCTATATTTTTACTTCCAATAAAGAAGTTATATATTATGGTGATTAAATTAAGCCGCCAAAAAAGTTTACTTTTCGGACATATTCCATCGGGGCATTTCTCACAAATTCGGGTATTTTTTACCGCATCATGCCAATAACCTTCCGTGCAATGTATAACACAGTATTCTCCTTGGATAAGCGTCTCTTCTGCAACTCTTTTTTGGAGAACCTTACTCTGCATTGATAATTTAAAATATGTATGCAAAAAACTTTTTCCTATATTATTGTTAATCGTGAACATACAGGCGCTGTCAAAAAAGAATTAACTGTTGAATTTCCTTTCGCCAGTAATAAATATATTGGATTATTTTTTATACAGCTATCTTTATATTAGTTGCAACGAGAACTATTTGCAAAGAACATTTCAGACATAAAATATAATTCTCTGAAGAGTAAACTGATACGATAAACAAATTTTATTGCACTGGGCATGTTTTAATAATTTTCAAGAGTAATTATCATCTTTTGATAGTTTTCGAGAGTAATTAAATATTCAATGATACCTGGGCATCGTTCCACGCAGTATCGATCATAGGTGTACCGTGGATTAGAATGATTAACGGTCATTTTCAGTATTCGATCATAATCTGTCAATCCATTACACTTATCTACACATTTCGAATCCTGCTCTAATTTAGCACAAGCCTAAAGAACAAATTGCAATTTATAAGTTGAATGAAGAACGAAAAGAAATATATCTTATAAATTGTTAATAATTTTATAGATTTTAGATTCTTTTAAAATTAATTTTTATCCGAGATAATTTTTTTTTGAATGATTAGATTTTTTTTAATTTATTCTAAATAATATTATTTGTTGATTTGAAAGACTGTATAGACAGTTCAAATTTTGCTATGCAAATATTTGCTCCATCATATAATCATGAAAAAAAGAAACTAATAGTAATGACGCACAATGCAAGCACTTTTTCCTTCACCAAAGCAACCCGCTGCGCATTCTTCATCACAGCAATGTGTTTTGTTATCACTCTGATAACACATTTGTGATGGACAATCTTTTGGACAGATTTCACGGTATACTAAATATTACAAAATTAAAATTTTCAATGAATTTTCAAGCATGTTTTGAATGATTCTAAAAAAATGTAAACTTTTAAGGAGGAAAATCCATTGTTATACTCCTCTTGCATGTTTGAGGTAAATTTTTAAGGTACAAATTTCATGCTGTAAATATAAGTTGTACAGATTGGGCAGACCTGTCTGACACATATTTGCATCTGGTCCCCAGCAATATTTACCACATTTTTCTGCACATTGGCTTTGAACTCGATCACATTTTTTGAAATTATCCGCAAACTGAACCCGGGATTTACTGCTATTACCAACAATCTAAATTTTCTTATTGCTAATAGTTATTTGAAAGCTTTCATTTGAGCTTATTATAATTTCTAGAAAATTATTTCACGAAATGAATTTAAATAACTTTGAATTATACTTCGTAGTAGGATACAGTAGTGTTCCAATTGCATAAATATGGATTATGCATCAGTACTATGTTACCACGTTCAACGCCTGAAGAAAAAAAAGGCATCTGAGAGTAAACTAAAAGCTTAATATTCAAACAACTTTCATTGTTTTGCGTTTTTGTGAGAGAAATGGAAAAGAGAGAGAAAAAGGGAAAGAAAGAGAAAATTAGAGGGATAGCTATTCTTTTTTTCTTAGAAATGTAATAAGCAAAGTAAATAGATTTGTTAAGCCATTTGTAATTTGAACTTACTTCTTAACTTCGGCAAATTGACATATTTCAGATTGTCATTATGACTTATATCTATTGCTGCTATGTCATCATGCCGTACATCACCCCAAACTATTTGCAAACTTCGCAGCGTTATTTGATCGAAATCATTTGCATAGATTAACAGGTAACCGGTGATCTAAAAATTACTTGCAACGAAACACTGATTTTATAAGTTAAGTGATTGTGATCAAGACATACAAAGTTTTGATGTAAATTTTATTCTGATTAATTCAAATCAGTCGACTGAATCGATCAATTCCAAAAGCAGTTGAAAATGAGCAGAGTTGTTAACAATTATGATATATATGAACTTTTATGGTATATATGAAGTCAAATTGAAATCATCCTTACGACAGATATTGCAAATTCTATGCTAAGTAAAATACGCCCCAATAGTTTTCGAGCAAATGTTAGCTGACAATTCAAGGAAAATATTTAATGAAGATCATTAAATTGATTTTTAAAACAATATTTCCTCTGAAAAAAATGAAAATATTTGCTAACGGAAAAAGTTACTAAACAATTTAATGAAGCATGAAGTTTTGAAAGTGAATAAAAAGCAAACCTGTTCGATATGGTCTAAAAAGCTGAAAAATTGTTCCGGATCAGTTCCATTCAAATGTTCATTTCGTATATAAGTTATTTCTAAGTTTCCGTAAACACGAGTACAATTCCGATACTGTTTAATTAACTGATTGATCCGGTTCTCATCCTGCAGTTCCGTTCGACCATTATCCGTCCCAGGACAAACTAAAAATTACAAAAAATGAATTATAGCCAAAACTGATTATTAAACGGTTTATGAGCTCAACCATTCTTTACTATTTCTAACTTTCGCCCTGGATTATTGTTCAAGTGGCAGAAAATCAAAATAATTTTCAGGACAAAAAGTTTAATATGGGACTAATCAGCTAATCTGATACACAAATACTATTAATTTTGGAATAAGTTAAGCTCATACACTACAAAATATATACCAAAACAATTCGAGCAAACACTATACATAAAGAATATTTCTGGTTGTTTTGAGCAAATCGAAAATATTTTTGGAAATTGAGGAAAAATAATATTGAATTATTTGAAATTTTTTAATCGAAGATAAATTTCAAATTATAAAGCTGGAGAAAATTGTGTTTTTATAGTTTTCGTGTAAGCTGTAGTGAAATTGATGCGCATTTTTTATTAGTTCAGATTTTAGACTTGTCCACAGTAAATTCATGGCTCCAAGTAAAAGTAAAATTTTAAATAAAAACTATTTTGTAGCAAAACTGATAAATTAAAAATTAAAAAAAATCATGTTTTAAGGTAGAAAAATAAAAATGTAACAACGGTATGAAAAAATACAGAATAAGATTGAGTTAAGTCAACAGTATTTTCTGATAACTAGCAGAAATCATCTAGAAGTAACAATAAATCTGATCTCTTTATTATTACTATTGCTAGTGAAGTAAAACAAAATTAGAAGAAACAAAACAAAAAAAAAACAACCGCTTCCTTATCAATACAACCTCATTGTCGACTATCAAACAACGAATTCGCATCATTCAGAAGTTATGATGAAAAATAAATGTTTCACGAAAGGACCATAAAATGATCGTTATAATTCCCAAAATATTGAAGGGACGATGGCTTTGAGGAAGTTAACAATGGAATAATTAATTTGGGAACATTTTATGCAATCTAAAAAATCGAGCGAAAGAAATAGAGCAAATTTCTTTTTTAATTCTTTTTCCCCTTTATCTTTCTCTCCATCTTATTTTTCTCTTTTTTTTCTATTCAATTTCTTTTTTTGCAATAATTTAAAATTCTTTTAATGAAATAATTTAAGTTTTGAACTCATATTGGATGAGAATATTGCCTTCTAATGTAATGAAGTAAACCATCAAAAATAATCAGTGAGATGTGCGCGAAATGTGGTCATTTGAACCAATTGCGCATTCGACACATAAAATTTTACAATGTCTTATCTCTTCCTGTTTCACACACAATCAGCTATTCTTTGTGACAAATAAATTCCACTCTTTTTCTAAATTTTTTTTATTTTTCAAATGGTCATCGAATTGTTGCTTGTTCACTTTCTAGTTTATTCCATATCAATATTTTCAATCTTAAAATTTTACTCCATTGCTAAAGTGTCACTTCTTAGCTATTAGATTGATTTGATATTAATATGAAAAGAGGAGAAAACATAATGATTTTTTCAGAAAAGAATGAGAGAAGTCCAAGGTCAATTGAAAAGTCTTAGTACCACTAACAGTGATCCTTTCCCTTTTCTGAAGAATAATATGCTTTAGATGATGAAATTACCTGTTAGACGTGATAGTGCTACAAACGGATCTGCAAAAAATCTCAATGATATTTGACATTTCAAGATAACATATTGGCCCGTTTCAATTTATCCAGCGAAATTACAGAATGTTTGGTGGATGATGCTATCAGTATCATAGACAGGAAATTTTAAAAGACTTCTCGAACTGATAAAATTAAAAAGCCGTGTGAATTTTTTAATATTGCTGATAAGAAACATTTCTTACTATAACTGCCAAATGATATTGAAATTCATTTTATTCATGTATCCCTGCAGTGATTTTGCACTTTTCAATAAACAAATTTTATAGAAGCAGAAAAAATATATTATAGAATTAGAACTAAAATTGTTTTTTAGTGATATCCATCATTGCTCTCATAATATTTTCGTGACTGGAATTCAATATCTGGTGGAATCAATTTTGTAAAACACTTTGCAAAAAGAAAGAAATGAAACAGAAGAAATAAACAAGAAAAAAAAAGAATGTAAAAGAAAAAAATGGAAAATTATACATAAATATACCTTTATGCGTAAATATATGTAGATAAAAAAGCACTGAAGTAAGTCTTCCAACTAACAGTAATTATTATCAACTGATGTTATACCTTTCATACAAAAGATAAGTTACTATTAGTTATCATAATTCTTGAATAGATATAAAAAATTTGAACTGGAGAAAGAAATCCTATGCTAAATGCACAGTAATGAAATGGCAAAAGTTTTATCGAAGAAGTAAAAAAAGAAACTTACCTTTTGATTATGCATTCTCTGATACAAAAAACAAATTTTTAGTCAGAATGTTTGTAATAGTAAAATAATATTATGAAAATCCTAGCAATTTCATCGTAATTCTAGACATTTCAGATCTATTCCTCTTTATGGTTAGATGGCAAGTTAAATTAAAATATTTCATATTAAATAATCTTAATACCATTTAAATAGTGTGCATCTTAATTTGGGTGGCACAATTACTGAACGTAAGCTTCGAGAAGTCTCAAAAAATCGCCACTATTTAAGTAATACAGAGTGAATTATTCAAATTATCAAATGATAACTTTATGACTTAAACAAACAGAGAGAGTAGTATTTTTATGGATAGAAGAGGATAGATTATCCGACCAATTCAATTGAATTGAATTTCATGATTATTCATATAAGTAAATGATAATCCTGCCACTAAATTACATTTTTTTCCCCTTTATGTATTTCTTTATTCATTTTCCGATATCTATTTTAGCAGTTAGTTTTCCGAAATATACCAGAGAATCAAATTCAGTTGGCTCTATAATTATAAATAGATTTTTCAATTTTCAGATGAAAGACTGAAAATTTTGACTTCTTTCAGCCTTTGGCTAAATTTTAATTATCAAAGGGAAAAAAATTAGTCATAAATTTATTTCCTAAAGTTTGTCTATTTCAATTTTTATTTGAGTTTTGTTATTTGAAATGATATAATTAATGCAGTATTCATAAAAGTTTATTTCATATTTGAAATTAAGATATTTAAATTATACTCAAATTAATGCATCCTGAAACATCTGAAATATCCCGAAAATGACTAACAGTTTCGTGATTTGCCATGGATATGGTCGATTCTCCTCGCATGTATCCATTGAATTAAATTTGGTATCAGCAATATCAATGGGATTAGCAATTTCCAACTGTGATGCATTGGTGGATGTTGAGAAGTATTGTATATATGACTGTATATCCCTGTCTATAATGATAAATGCAATTTACAGTTCGATTATAAAGCAAACAAAAATCTGAAAAAAAAAGATAATGTAAAAATTTCTCAATTTTTCCTTTCATCTTATTTCAGGAATGCATACCTTGAAAACAATTCGAAGCGATAACTTTCCTGCAAATTCCCCCTCCAGATGGAACTCATCAATTGTAAAATAAAAAACATTTATGACTTTTAGAAAGAGTTCAGAAAGTTCAGAAAGAAATTTCCAAAAGATTTACGCTTTAAGCAATGAAAAATATTAAATTAACATTAGTCTATTTCAAAGAAAAAATTTAAATTAGGTATTGCCCAAATATCAACAATATTTTTCCCCTAAGCCAAAGTTTTAAAAAATTTTGTTTTTCACATTCCTATTGAGTTATTTTCATTTACTCAGAATAATTGGTAACAAGACACCGTAAATAGTACAGAAAATCACTTAAATTAGCACTATTAGACGAAAAAAATATGAAATATACAGGATCTTTCGCTCCTCCCTTATCCTTCACTCTCCGAAATTCGCAAAAGACAGCCGGCACGCTTTAATAATCGGAATAGATAAAGCCGCACAGACAGCAATAAGCGGCAAAGAATGAATAAATAATGGCAAAATTAGATTTATGTATATGAATAGATATTTATGTTAAAAAATGCAAAATTATGAAGAAGCAATATGCAAATTATATAATATTGATAAGTGTAAAAGGTTTACAATTGTGAAAACGCTGTTAAAAGGTTTCACAGAATAGACTTAATTTGATTATTCATTTAAGTTTTGGTTGTAATTTTCTCTCATTTTTATTTCCATTACTTTATTCAATTTTTTTAAAAATCGTTTCTAATATGACAAATTTCAACTATTGACTACAGCAAAAAATATATGACAGGAACAAATTTCAATTACAAATTGCTCAAACTTATTCAGAAGAAGTCAGAAGCAATTTGAAATTTCGAAAATTTTACGGTTATCAAAATTATCGAATAGAAGAAAATATGTCAAAGAAACAGATTAATCTTGTGATATTATCAACAAATATAACTCCGATATGTAGTACGAAGAAAAAATGCAACGCCTTAATAAACAATCTAATCATCAAAAATTCATGTTTAAATTATTACAAAGTTGAAGAATCCTGAAATGACAGGACGCTAAAAAATCTTGGGAGAAATGACTCCGGTAGAAATAAAATGATAGTCATATTAAAGTAGTCACATTAATAGAAAATAAAAAATTTTGAAGTGTAAAAATGTTGAAAAAATTCTTATTTTACTATTTAATGGGCTATTTGTTTACATTTCCGAATGCTTAATATTGCTTTCGCATTCATCCGTTATTTTAAAAAAAACAGCTCATAATTGCGAAATCATTGTTGCAAATTTCATAATGTGAAGTTATTAGTTAATGATTGACATATCATTAATTAGACTAGGAAAAAAAATTACACTATTTTAAATAGTTCAAAATTGTTTCATTTCGATTTATACAATTGTACAAAATTTTCTGATCATAATAGGTTGTGATGTCCTTTCTTCATTTTCTATTTTGTTATCGATTTAAATTAACTATATGCCTTATTTAAACTTCCTCAATCCTATCACCTTATCAGCACTTATCTGGTCATATAAAATAAAAATTCATATTTTCTATAGGGCAAATTTTTTCGAAGAACTAAAATCTTCAAATAGCTCAATACGCTGCATTAGCGCAGAAGTAATACATACCGATGTATGCAAATGAAAAAGAAAGCGAAAAAATATTATAATGGAAAAGATTAACGTTTGGATAACTTTTTTGATGTAAAAGCATATTTGAATGGGAGTGGAATGAATGTTGAGAGTGAGTGGGAATGCTTATCAAATCGCCGTACCTTCGTAGGTTAGTGATGTGAGGGCGATTGTTACATATCGTACAAGAGAAGTGCCATAAAATATTGGCTAATACATTGTGCTTTTGTTGATAAGCCGTTT